TGAATTTTTGGGTTTAAGGGTTTAGGGTTTAAGGGGTTTAGGGTTAGGGTTTAAGGGTTTAGGGTTTACGGGTTTAGGGCTTACGAGTTTAGGGCTTAGGGGTTGAATTGTGCTTCATGTGTTTGTTGTTTACAGAGCTGCCTCATACCAGAGTTAGGCAGTCATACATCAACTTGTTACCCCAAGCAGTAACCCTGGTGTGAGGAAGACTATAAGGATTACTGTTACTAGTAGCGTTTGTAGGATTCAGGTACACCGGCAAATTTCAGCGTCTTGGGAATATAGCCTCCTCGTTCGTAGCTTATGCAGCCACAGGTAGGCATAGTGTTGCTTGAACTTGTCGTGCCGAGCCAGGACCATCATCCAATACCACTTGGTTATGGAGCCTACTTCAAATCATAGTAGGATCTCTAATATGGCTCAAGGTATCTTCCTTCACTGCGGGTTATTGGAAAGTCTGGGAATATTCAGGATCCTACACGACCCAAGTCCCTCTGAGAAAGTTTATTCCCCTTACTCGCCGGGTAGACTCAGAGTCTAACGATCTTGAGTTGTTGAGGCTAGAGGATTCAGAGAACCGACAGGGGACTTTTCCGACTGGCTCGTGAATGGTTGGGGGTTCTGGCTTTTTGAAGTGAGGTGTGTAGTATAGAAGCCTGTACAGATGACCAACATTATTCCTCAGGGCTCCTGATTTTTCCTTTTTACCCAAATTCCTAGTCATATTGTCTCAGCCACCACATTACGTAGAGCCGAGGGCATTGGCAGTTCTTAGACTTACGGCTTACGGGTTTCTTGCTTTGCTAGGTTTAGGGTTAAGGGCTCCGGGGTCTAGGGGTTTTGGGTTTAGGGAACATATGCCCGATTTCCCACTATAACATCTAAACCCTAAACCCTAAAACAGGATCTCCAAAGTTCACCAACAGCTTGCGGCCATGTCCAGGAGAGGCCAGCCAGGATTTTGAAAAATAAGGAGGCCCGCTGAACAATGGTGAAGAAACATGCCCTGCTTCATCTATCAAGAAACGACGTAGTACCGACGGCAAAACCGCGTCGATGAGAAGCGCTGCCGTTGGCGTCGATTTAGCACGGACCTCTTTGTGTATTGCGCGTGCTGTCTCATACCCGAAGCCGTCCGTGGTCTGCAGTCGTTGGATGCCTCCCCCCCCCTTCCCCCGTCGCCCTTGCATCCGGATTCGTCATACGCTTGCAGTTCAACTGCGGATGTCCTTGGGCTTCAGATTTGCCTTCTGGGCTTGCCTTACCTGTAATCCCTTGAAAGCACTAAAACTCATCAATGCTCCTGTATCATCCCATTTCATATGCAGCTCACGCTGCTAAGCCGGTTGTTGTTTTGGAGCTAGCGCTCCAACTCTGAATGACTTAGCTAGGATTCACAGTTGGGGTTTAGGGTGAAGCTGGCCGAGTTTTCGGTTGATCAACCACGAGTGTCTTCAAGGCCCTTACTCCCAAATTGTGTCGCGCGAAGATGCATCCTAAATCCTACACCCGAAACTGAACCCCAAACTCTCGTTCGATGCTGCCGAGCCTTCAGCCCCCTGTTTGATGGCTTCGGGGTGATTGAAAGCAGCACGGAGGTCGGAATATCCAATATTTATGGTTGATGATCTAAATCCTGCATTACCTTGAGTATCCAAAGCTATGGGAATTATGGCATATCCCTTATTATGGGTAATGCAGGGTTTATATCATCAACCGTAGGACTTCTCCTTGGGTTTTGCTCACCGGAATGATATTTTACCATCTATCCCCCAAGGCCTGCTTTTTTTTCTTGTACACTCTGTCCTCCTCAAAACCCCATAGCCCTAGGTGGTACCTCCGAAAGTGGACATGCTTCTGCTGCTGCTGCTGCTGTGGCGGTGGAGATTCGAGCGATTCCGATCGTTCTGCCGCTCGGAATGATAGAGACCCTACACCCTATACCCATAGGCTCCTAAGTAGTTCCTTTCTGTGGTTTACATTCAGGATCCTACAAGGTAATCCCAAAAAAGGCACTACCAAGGCAGCCTATGGGCACATCCTAAGTTGTGCGCCTTGGGTGCTGGGTCGCAGATGTTCTTTCGGAGCACGTAAAAAGGAAAGTCAAAAAGCAACCTTAAACCCTAAACCCTAAACCCTATAAAGTACCTGAAACGAAAGTCAAAAAAAGGGTTTAGGGCCGTTTAGGGTTTAGGGTTAATCCTAAACCCTAAACCCTAAATTACCTGATGCAAAGGCAGGTCATCTTAACTCCTGGTTCTCGAGCCGTTAGCCTTTAGGGTCTCATGCCTCGGTTGGTCGGCTTTGGGTTTGGGGGGGGCCCTAAACCCATAAGCTCCTTAGTAATTCTTAGTAGTTCCTTTTTTGGGATTACCTTATAGGATCCTAAATGTATAAACCACAAAAAGGAACTACTTCGGAGCCTAGGGGTGAACCCTACACCCTAAACCCTAAGGTTTGAGTGTAGGGTTTTGGAGTTTGGGGGTTTAGGGGGTTCTGGGGTTAGGGGAAAATGAGTTTAGGGTGCAGAACTCGAACCACCGAAGTTTTGTTTCAGAAGTGAATAGAATGTAC